TTAAAATTTTTGTCTAATCATAACCATTATTACTGTTCATGCTATCAACGTGTAAAACTACTCTAGAAAGTTTTTGATTGTGTAAATTGTTTACTAAATTGCTTTAATTGACTATTTGCTCGCATAAGTGGTATATCAAGTAAGCCTTAACCATTACTTCCCGAACACGAGTTTAATTGTTATGATTTACTCTTAAGCATGGTACTAACTAAGAATGTAAACAACTCATTGCGAAATAAAGCCAAACATCGTGGCTTGCCACCCGTTAGATGTATAGGCAGGCCATTCGAACACGGGCCTAACGCTAATGTCCCGTACATTGGAGCGCCATTAACCAGCACGACCACCACTAATAATAACTGGACTAATGGTAATTGGGTCGTGGTCATAGACAACTTTAACACATCCGCTCAAACCGATCCTGTTGTTGATACCGACTCTGAGACCAGACCAGAGCCGTGTGTTGTCGAGCCGATTAATCCAGACCCGAGTACTGTTCCACTAACTACAACCATTGATAACGTAGACCAAGATGATGACGGAGACCCCATTCGCTTCATAGCACTGAACGAGCCGTCCACTAATGTTATGCCGAGTGCTGCCGGCTCCAGCAAGGCTGGCCCGTGTATAATTACGGCAAGCGGTGCTGTCAGGAGGCCTATGGGAAAACCCGAGCACATGATTAGGACCCGACTAATAGCGGCTACCTTTTCGAAAAAGCGCGGCGGTATCAAGAAGCCCAAACGCAAACCGACCAAAAAGACACGAAGAGCTCGGGGCAGCCCAGAACCGTTACGGAGAGCTGGCAGGCCACCCGATCCACCATGGCTCAAGGAAATCAAGAGATACCAGGGCAGTACCGATATCCTGATCAAAAAGTTACCGTTTCAGCGGCTTGTCCGAGAGGTGGCCTACAATCTTACGCCGTCGCAATTCAACAAGGACACTATGCGTTGGCAAAGCGCGGCAATCGGTGCACTTCAGGAAGCCGCGGAGAAGTACTTGGTGGACATCTTGACCGACGCAAACTTATGTGCTATACACGGGAAGCGGGTAACGGTGACTCCCAAAGATATACAGTTAGCCCGGCGAATCGGGAATTATTATAAATAAAATGCAATTAATACCGTAGAAGCTATGTCCCATTCATTTGTATTGTTTAGTACGGGACCCGATCGGGTCCCGAAATAGGTCAAAATAGTAGGTCAAAAATAGGCCAATAGTAGGCCAAAATAGGCCAAAAATAGGCCAA